ATGAGTCTGTGGGTCTCTGTGGTGAGTTAATGGATCTTATAGACGCAATACCGCCCATAGACTCAACACTGCCCATAGACTCAACACTGCACCATAGACTCAACACTGCACCATAGACTCAACACTGCACCATAGACTCAACACTGCACCATAGACTCAACACTGCACCACAGACTCAACACTGCACCATAGACTCAACACTGCACCATAGACTCAACATTACCCATAGACTCAGCACTGCCCATAGACTCAACACTGCACCATAGACTCAACACTGCCCATAGACTCAACACTGCACCATAGACTCAACACTGCTCATAGACTCAGCACTGCCCTAAGACTCAACACTGCCCATAGACTAAACACTGTCCATAGATTCAACACTGCACATAGACTCAACACTGCCCATAGACTCAACACTGCACCACAGACTCAACACTGCACGATAGACTCAACACTGCACATAGACTCAGCACTGCACCATAGACTCAACACTGCCCATAGACTCAACACTACCCATAGACTCAACACTGCACCATAGACTCAATACTGCACCATAGACTCAACACTACCCATAGACTCAACACTGCCCATAGACTCAACACTGCACCATAGACTCAACACTGCACCATAGACTCAACACTGCACCATAGACTCAACACTGCACCATAGACTCAACACTGCACCATAGACTCAACACTGCCCATAGACTAAACACTGTCCATAGACTCAACACTGCCCAGACTCAACACTGCACCATAGACTCAACACTGCACCATAGACTCAACACTGCCCATCGACTCAACACTGCACCATAGACTCAACACTGCACCATAGACTCAACACTGCCCATCGACTCAACACTGCACATAGACTCAACACTGCACCATAGACTCAACACTGGATCATAGACTCAACACTGCCCATAGACTCAACACTGCACATAGACTCAGCACTGCACCAGAGACTCAACACTGCCCATAAACTCAACACTGCACCATAGACTCAACACTGCCCATAGACTCAACACTGCCCATAGACTCAACACTGCACCATAGACTCAACACTGCACCATAGACTCAACACTGCACCATAGACTCAACACTGCACCATAGACTCAACACTGCACCATAGACTCAACACTGCCCCATAGACTCAACACTGCACATAGACTCAACACTGCACCATAGACTCAACACTGGTCCATAGACTCAACACTGCACCATAGACTCAACACTGCTCCATAGACTCAGCACTGCACCATAGACTCAACACTGCACCATAGACTCAACACTGCCCATATACTCAACACTGCACATAGACTCAGCACTGCACCATAGACTCAACACTGCTCCATAGACTCAACACTGCACCATAGACTCAACACTGCACCATAGACTCAACACTGCACCATAGACTCAACACTGCTCCATAGACTCAACACTGCTCCATAGACTCAACACTGCCCATAGACTCAACACTGCACCATAGACTCAACACTGCACCATAGACTCAACACTGCCCATCGACTCAACACTGTACCATAGACTCAACACTGCACCATAGACTCAACACTGCCCATCGACTCAACACTGCACCATAGACTCAACACTGCACCATAGACTCAACACTGCCCATCGACTCAACACTGCACATAGACTCAACACTGCACCATAGACTCAACACTGCATCATAGACTCAACACTGCCCATAGACTCAACACTACACATAGACTCAGCACTGCCTGTAGACTCAACACTGCACCATAGACTCAACACTGCACCATAGACTCAACACTGCCCATAAACTCAACACTACTCATAGACTCAGCACTGCCCATAGACTCAACACTGCACCATAGACTCAACACTGCACCATAGACTCAACACTGCACCATAGACTCAACACTGCCCATAAACTCAACACTACTCATAGACTCAGCACTGCCCATAGACTCAACACTGCACCATAGACTCAACACTGCACCATAGACTCAACACTGCCCATAGACTCAACACTACCCATAGACTCAACACTGCTCCATAGACTCAACACTGCACCATAGACTCAACACTGCACCATAGACTCAACACTGCACCATAGACTCAACACAGCACCATAGACTCAACACTGCCCATAAACTCAACACTGCACATAGACTCAACACTGCACATAGACTCAGCACTGCACCAGAGACTCAACACTGCACCATAGACTCAACACAGCCCCATAGACTCAACACTGCACCATAGACTCAACACAACCCCATAGACTCAACACTGCACCATAGACTCAACACTACCCATAGACTCAACACTGCACCATAGACTCAACACTGCACCATAGACTCAACACTGCACCTATGCAGTACCCACGTCTGGTGTAACTCAAGACACCCAACAGACACACACAGAGACCCCTCTCTCTACTCCTCTGCCCCCCCCCCTAAACTAACTTCTTAATCTTTTAAAGACAATAACGATGAGAGGGCGAGGCGATAGCGTCTTGTAAGATCCGGGGAAACGCCGCACGAGGCTCTTGTTAACAATCTGCCGAGAATGACGGCGGTGACTTGGACGAGGTCACAAGACGTCTCGACGAGGTAGCAAGATGTCTCGAGGAGCTCGCAAGAAGTCTACGACGAGGTCACAAGACGTCTACGACGAGGTCTCAAGACGTCTCAAGGAGCTCGCAAGACGTCTACGACGAGGACTCTGAAGACGTCTACGACGAGGTCACAAGACGTCTCAAGGAGCTCGCAAGACGTCTACGACGAGGTCTCTCAAGACGTCTACGACGAGGTCACAAGACGTCTCAAGGAGCTCGCAAGACGTCTACGACGAGGTCTCAAGACGTCTACGACGAGGTCTCAAGAGGTCTCAAGGAGCTCGCAAGACGTCTACGACGAGGTCACAAGACGTCTCAAGGAGCTCGCAAGACGTCTACGACGAGGTCTCACAAGACGTCTACGACGAGGTCTCAAGACGTCTCAAGGAGCTCGCAAGACGTCTACGACGAGGTCACAAGACGTCTCAAAGAGCTCGCAAGACGTCTACGACGAGGTCTCACAAGACGTCTCAAGGAGCTCGCAAGACGTCTACGAGGTCACAAGACGTCTCAAGGAGCTCGCAAGACGTCTACGACGAGGTCTCTCAAGACGTCTACGACGAGGTCTCAAGACGTCTACGACGAGGTCACAAGACGTCTCAAGGAGCTCGCAAGACGTCTACGACGAGGTCTCACAAGACGTCTACGACGAGGTCTCAAAACGTCTACGACGAGGTCACAAGACGTCTATGACGAGCTCTCTAAGTGTATAGTGTAGTGTATAGTGTAGTGTATAGTGTAGTATACTAATACAGCACTAGTGTATAGTGTAGTGTATAGTGTAGTGTATAGTGTAGTATACTAATACAGCACTAGTGTATAGTGTAGTGTATAGTAGTGTATAGTGTAGTGTGGTGTGTATCGTAGTGTATAGTGTAATGTATAGTGTAGTGTATAGTGTAGTATACTAGTACAGCACTAGTGTATAGTGTAGTGTATAGTGTAGTGTATAGTGCAGTATATAGTGTAGTGTATAGTGTAGTGCATAGTGTAGTATACTAGTACAGCACTAGTGTATAGTGTAGTGTGTAGTGCAGTATACTAGTACACTACTAGTACAGCACTAGTGTATAGTGTAGTATATAGTGTAGTGTATAATGTAGTGTATTGTGTTGTATACTTGTACAGCACTAGTGTATAGTGTTGTGTATAGTGCAGTATACTAGTACAGCACTAGCGTATAGTGTAGTGTATAGTGTAGTATACTAGTACAGCACTAGAGTATAGTGCAGTGTGTAGTGCAGTATACTAGTACACTACTAGTACAGCACTAGTGTATAGTGTAGTATATAGTGTAGTGTATAATGTAGTGTATTGTGTTGTATACTTGTACAGCACTAGTGTATAGTGTTGTGTATAGTGCAGTATACTAGTACAGCACTAGCGTATAGTGAAGTGTATAGTGTAGTATACTAGTACAGCACTAGAGTATAGTGCAGTGTGTAGTGTATAGTGTAGTGTATAGTCTAGTGTATAGTCTAGTGTATAGTGTAGTATACTAGTACACTACTAGTACAGCACTAGTGTATAGTGTAGTGTACTATTACAGCACTAGTGTATAGTGTAGTGTGGTCTGTATCGTAGTGTATAGTGTAGTGTGTATAGTGTAGTATACTAGTACAGCACTAGTGTATAGTGCAGTGTGTAGTGTATAGTGTAGTGTATAGTGTAGTATACTATTACTGGTAGGAACCTCCTGGTTACAACACCACCAGCCCACAGGGGATTATTGTGTCCGTCCGTCCGTCGTGCATCCAAAAATGGGAGGGGCTGGGTGGGGAGGGGCTGGTCACCCCGTGGTGCCCCCCTTATAAAACTCAACGTTTCACCGACTCACGCCGGCTTGTGCTGAACGCATCACCACCACGTGGTGGTGCCGTTGTTGTTGTTGACACCTGGCCATCGACCGAGCAACCCAACGTTTCTACTGCCAGCTCCTCCCTCGGCAGGACAAACGTGTTACCGCGCACCGGTGTATTGCCACAACATTTACAAATCCGAGTACGACGTTTCGCCAGTAATTACAACCGGCTTCATCAGGCGACGGCCAGATTCGTGTAGAAGTCCACCTTACTGCGTTCGTCACACACACGTGTATATAATTATAGAAGGCGTCGTAGATGCGGTGACCACGCTTCTACGGTCTGCACGCGCGTTACACGGGGGGCCTCTGGAGCGTGTCCCTCCCTACCAGTCTTCTTTTAAACGTAGCTATTTCTCTAATTTGTTGAAGGCTACTCACGGTTCCAAGGCTCTGGTCCGTTGCAGGCGGGCCATCAGAAAGCCGGACCCGAAGACTTTCCAGCCACCCAAATAAACCTCGAAAACCACGACCACGGAAAAACCCCGACCCCCCAACACACCCACCCTCCCCTACTCCCCTCGCGGCGTACCCGGGGGCAGAGCTGTTCAGGCGAGGTCGAGGCTCCGGGCGAAGACCGACTTTTCTCGACTAGGCCTCGAGGATTATTTTTTTAATAATCGGCGGGGGAGAGAAAGGGAAAACAGAAAACCGCCCAGCCGCGTGCCAGCAAGCGATCGCGAGAGACGGCGGGCGTGGGTGCGATCATTCGTAATTAGCGAGACCGATCGGAGGCTCGCAAAAGGCGAAGACGCTCAAAAGTCACGGAGCGATCATAAGTGGCGCTTTTGGGTTCCAGAACACGCGGGAGAAATGGGATCGTAATCGGCGGTGTAGAAACTCCAAATGTAGCAGCGCTCGTCACTGTTATCGTACTCGGCGGTGTAGAAACTCCAAATGTAGCAGCGCTCGTCACTGTTATCGTAATCGGCGGTGTAGAGACTCCAAATATAGCAGCGCTCGTCACTGTTATAGCAATCGGCGGTGTAGAGACTCCAAATCTAGCAGCGCTCGTCACCGTCAGTAATCGGCGGTGTAGAGACTCCAAATCTAGCAGCGCTCGTCACTGTTATGGTAATCGGCGGTGTAGAGACTCCAAATCTAGCAGCGCTCGTCACTGTTATAGTAATCGGCGGTGTAGAGATTCCAAATCTAGCAGCGCTCGTCACTCTTATAGTAATCGGCGGTGTAGAGACTCCAAATCTAGCAGCGCTCGTCACCGTCAGTAATCGGCGGTGTAGAGACTCCAAATCTAGCAGCGCTCGTCACTGTTATGGTAATCGGCGGTGTAGAGACTCCAAATCTAGCAGCGCTTGTCACTGTTATGGTAATCTGCGGTGTAGAGACTCCAAATCTAGCAGCGCTCGTCACTGTTATAGTAATCGGCGGTGTAGAGACTCCAAATCTAGCAGCGCTCATCACCGTCAGTAATCGGCGGTGTAGAGACTCCAAATCTAGCAGCGCTTGTCACTGTTATGGTAATCGGCGGTGTAGAGACTCCAAATCTAGCAGCGCTCGTCACCGTCAGTAATCGGCGGTGTAGAGACTCCAAATCTAGCAGCGCTCGTCACTGTTATGGTAATCGGCGGTGTAGAGACTCCAAATCTAGCAGCGCTCGTCACTGTTATAGTAATCGGCGGTGTAGAGACTCCAAATCTAGCAGCGCTCGTTACCGTCAGTAACCGGCGGTGTAGAGACTCCAAATCTAGCAGCGCTCGTCACTGTCGGTAATCGGCGGTGTAGAGACTCCAAATCTAGCAGCGCTCGTCACCGTCAGTAATCGGCGGTGTAGAGACTCCAAATCTAGCAGCGCTCGTCTCTGTCTGTAATCGGCGGTGTAGAGACTCCAAATCTAGCAGCGCTCGTCTCCGTCAGTAATCGGCGGTCTAGAGACTCCAAATCTAGCAGCGCTCGTCACTGTCAGTAACCTCCGCTTTTGCCCCGCCCCTTCTCCACATTTACCGCGCTCCTCACCCCGCCCCCTCCCCTCTACCCCGCTCCGCCTCCCTACACTAACTCCGCCTCCTTCCCCTTTACCCCGCCCCCTCCACACACTAACCCCGCCTCCCTTCCTCTTTACCCTGCTCCCCCTCAATACACTAACTCCGCCTCCCCTCCCTTTTACCCCGCCCCCTCCACGCACTAACCCCGCCTCTCTTCCTCTTTACCTTGCTCCCCCTCCATACACTAACTCCGCCTCCTCTCCCCTTTACCCCGCCCCCTCTCTACATGCTAACCCCGCCTCCCTTCCCCTTTACCCCCTCTCCACACACTAACCCCGCCTCCCTCTCCACACTAACTCCGCCTCCCTCCTCGTTAGCCCACCCCCTTTCTAGACACACTAGCCCCGCCTCCCAATCCCCTTTACCCCGCCCCATCTCCCCACACAAACCCCGCCTACCCTTGACCCCGCCCCATCTCCCCACACTAACCCCGCCTCCCCATTTACCACGACCCCTTCTCCCCACACTAACCCCGCCCTCCCCTTTACCCCGCCCCATCTCCCCACACAAACCCCGCCTCCCCTTGACCCCGCCCCATCTCCCCACACTAACCCCGCCCTCCCCTTTACCCCGCCCCATCTCCCCACACTAACCCCGCCCTCCCCTTTACCCCGCCCCCTCTCACCACACAAACCCCGCCCTCCCCTTTACCCCACCCCATCTCCCCACACTAACCCCGCCCTCCCCTTTACCCCGCCCCCATCTCCCCACACTAACCCCGCCCTCCCCTTTACCCCGCCCCCATCTCCCCACACTAACCCCGCCCTCCCCTTTACCCCGCCCCATCTCCCCACACTAACCCCGCCCTCCCCTTTACCCCGCCCCCTCTCACCACACAAACCCCGCCCTCCCATATTTACCACGCCCCGCCTCTCCCAACCAACGGACCAATCGGCCTTCCGCCATTTCCCCCCTCACGCCTCCCCCTCTGCCCCCGCCCCCCCCCCCTCCCTCCCTCTGGCCCCGCCCCCAACCGCCGTTCACTTCAGCCCGAGATGGCGGCTGGCTGCTGCGGTGTCAAGAAGCAGAAGCTATCGTCGTCGTCGTCTTCCTCTTCGTCGTCTTCGTGCGCCGGAGCCTCGGCGGCGGCGGCCGCGGCGGCGTCGGCGGGGCCCTACGGCTCCGTGGGGTCGGCGGCCGCGGGGATCGCCATCGCAGCCGCAGCAGCCGCAGCCGCCGCCTCAGCCGCCGCTTCAGCCTCCTCGGCCTCGATCCCCTCAGCCGGGCACGACTCCACCTCAGCGCCATCGTCGGGCGGCAGTGGCGGCAGCAGCAGCAGCAGCAGGGAGATGATCATCGCCGCCTCTCGTCACAATCACAACAACCACCACCAGCAGTCGCAACAACAACAACAACAGCAGCAGCAGCCACAGCAGCCGCAACAACAGCAGCAACAACAACAGCAGATGCAGCAGCAGCAACAGCAGAGTAACGGAGTGTCGAGACGCATCAGCAGCAGCAGCAGCAACATGGTGGCGTCTGCCGAGATGTGCTTCTATTGCTTCGACGTCCTCTACTGCCAGATGCATGGCTACCAGGCGCCTCGCAGTCCTCGCTTCACCAACGACGCCTAGTGAGTGTGCACGGGGGTGGGGGGTGGTGTGTTGTGTTGTTGTGGTGGTGGTGGTGAGTTGTGTGGTGGTGAGTTGTGTGGTGGTGAGTTGTGTGGTGGTGTGTTGTGTGGTGGTGGTGTGTTGTTGTGGTGGTGGTGAGTTGTGTTGTGGTGGTGAGTTGTAGTGAGTTGTGTTGTGGTGGTGAGTTGTAGTGAGTTGTATTGTGGTGGTGAGTTGTAGTGAGTTGTGTTGTGGTGGTGAGTTGTAGTGAGTTGTGTTGTGGTGGTGAGTTGTAGTGAGTTGTGTTGTGGTGGTGAGTTGTGGAGTGGTGGTGAGTTGTGGAGTGGTGGTGAGTTGTGTTGTGGTGGTGGTGAGTTGTGTTGTGGTGGTGAGTTGTGTTGTTGTGGAGTGTTGTGTGGTGGTGAGTTGGTGTAGTGGTGGTGGTGAGTTGTGTTGTTGTGGAGTGTTGGTGAGTTGTGTTGTGGTGGTGAGTTGTGTGGTGGTGAGTTGTGTGGTGGTGGTGAGTTGTGTGGTGGTGGTGAGTTGTGTGGTGGTGGTGAGTTGTGTGGTGGTGGTGGTGAGTTGTTGGTGGTGGTGGTGAGTTGTTGGTGGTGGTGGTGAGTTGTGTGGTGGTGGTGGTGAGTTGTGTGGTGGTGGTGGTGAGTTGTGTGGTGGTGGTGAGTTGTGTGGTGGTGGTGGTGGTGAGTTGTGTGGTGGTGGTGAGTTGTGTGGTGGTGGTGGTGAGTTGTGTGGTGGTGGTGAGTTGTGTTGTGGTGGTGAGTTGTGTTGTGGTGGTGAGTTGTGTTGTGGTGGTGAGTTGTGTTGTGGTGGTGAGTTGTGTTGTGGTGGTGAGTTGTGTTGTGGTGTGGTGGTGAGTTGTGGTGTGGTGGTGAGTTGTGGTGTGGTGGTGAGTTGTGTTGTGGTGGTGAGTTGTGTTGTTGTCGAGTGTTGTGTGGTGGTGGTGAGTTGGTGTAGTGGTGGTGGTGAGTTGTGTTGTTGTGGATTGTTGGTGAGTTGTGTGGTGGTGGTGAGTTGTGTGGTGGTGGTGGTGAGTTGTGTGGTGGTGGTGAGTTGTGTGGTGGTGGTGAGTTGTGTGGTGGTGAGTTGTGTGGTGGTGGTGAGTTGTGTTGTTGTGGAGTGTTGGTGAGTTGTGTGGTGGTGGCGAGTTGTGTTGTGGTGGTGAGTTGTGTGAGTTGTGTTGTGGTGGTGAGTTGTGTGAGTTGTGTTGTGGTAGTGAGTTGAGTTGTGTGAGTTGTGTTGTGGTGGTGAGTTGTGTTGTTGTGGAGTGTTGGTGAGTTGTGTTGTGGTGGTGAGTTGTGTGGTGGTGAGTTGTGTGGTGGTGGTGAGTTGTTGTAGTGATGGTGGTGAGTTGTGGTGTGGTGGAGTGAGTGGTGGTGAGTTGAGTTTAGGGGTTGTTGTAGTGGGGAGAGTGGTGGTGAGTTGTGTTGAGGTGTAGTGGTGGTGGTGAGTTGTGTTGAGGTGGGAGTGGTGGGGCTGGTTGTGAGTTGTGTTGAGGTGTGGTGGTGGTGGTGAGTTGAGTTTAGGTGTTGTGGTAGTGGGGAGAGTGGTGATGAGTTATGTTGAGGTGTTATGTTGAGGTGTAGTGGTGGTGGTGGTGGGGAGAGTGGTGGTGAGTTGAGTTTAGGTGTTGTGGTAGTGGGGAGAGTGGTGGTGAGTTGTGTTGAGGTGTTGTGGTGGTGAGTTGAGTTTAGGTGTTGTGGTAGTGGGGAGAGTGGTGATGAGTTGTGTTGAGATGTTGTTATGTTGAGGTGTAGTGGTGGTGGTGGTGGGGAGAGTGGTGGTGAGTTGAGTTTAGGTGTTGTGGTAGTGGGGAGAGTGGTGGTGAGTTGTGTTGAGGTGTTGTGGTGGTGAGTTGAGTTTAGGGGTTGTGGTAGTGGGGAGAGTGGTGGTGAGTTGAGGTGTAGTGGTGGTGAGTTGAGTTTAAGGGTTGTGGTAGTAGGGAAAGTGGTGGTGAGTTGTGTTGAGGGGTTGTGTTGAGGTGGTGTTTGAGTGATGGTGATGGTTGTGAGTTGTGTAGTGGTGGTGGTGAGTTGTGTTGTGGTGGTGGTGTGGGGAGAGTGGTGAGTTGTGGTGAGGTGGTGGTGTGGGGAGAGTGGTGGTGGTGTGGGGAGAGTGGTGGTGGTGGTGGGTGGTGGTGAGTGGTGTTGAGGTGGTGGTGTGGGGAGAGTGGTGGTGAGTGTGAGGTGGTGGTGAGTAGTTGTGGTGGTGAGTGTGTTGAGGTGGGGGTGAGTGTGGTGGTGGTGGTGAGTGTGTTGAGGAGGTTGTGGGTGGAGTGGGGGTGGTGGTGAGTTGTGTTGTGGTGGTGGTGTGGGGAGAGTGGTGAGTTGTGGTGAGGTGGTGGTGTGGGGAGAGTGGTGGTGGTGTGGGGAGAGTGGTGGTGGTGGTGAGTGTGTTGAGGAGGTTGTGGGTGGAGTGGGGGTGGTGAGTGTGTTGAGGTGGTGGTGTTGGGAGTGTGGTGGTGAGTAGTGGTAGTGGTGAGTGTTGAGGTTGTAGTTGGAGTGGAGATGATTGTGGGAGCGGCGTTGTTGTGTGGTGAGAATTGTTGTTGGTGAGGTGGGTTGCAGTGGTGAGTGATGTTGACGATGACCTGCTACTATCACTACTACTACTACTGTCACTACTACTACTACTGTCACTATCACTACTACTGTCACTACTATTACTACTACTGTCACTACTACTGCTGTCACTATCACTACTACTATCACTACCACTACTACTGTCACTACTACTACTGTCACTACTATTACTACTACTGTCACTACTACTACTACTGTCACTGCTACTACTGTCACTATCACTACTACTGTCACTACTACTACTACTGTCACTACTACTACTGTCACTACTATTACTACTACTGTCACTACTGTCACTACTACTGTCACTACTGTCACTACTACTACTGTCACTCACTACTACTGTCACTACTGTCACTACTACTGTCACTACTGTCACTACTACTACTGTCACTCACTACTACTGTCACTACCACTACTACTGTCACTACTGTCACTACTATTACTGTCACTACTATTACTACTGTCACTACCACTACTGTCACTACCACTACTGTCACTACTATTACTACTGTCACTACCACTACTGTCACTACTACTACTGTCACTACTACTACTGTCACTACTACTACTGTCACTACTGTCACTACTACTACTGTCACTACTACTACTGTCACTACTACTACTGTCACTACTACTACTGTCACTACTACTACTGTCACTACCACTACTACTGTCACTACTGTCACTACTACTGTCACTACTACTACTACTACTGTCACTACTACTACTACTGTCACTATCACTACTACTGTCACTACTACTACTGTCACTACTACTACTGTCACTACTGTCACTACTACTACTGTCACTACTGTCACTACTACTACTGTCACTACTGTCACTACTACTACTGTCACTACTGTCACTACTACTACTGTCACTACTACTACTGTCACTACTGTCACTACTACTACTGTCACTACTACTACTGTCACTACCACTACTGTCACTACTGTCACTACTACTGTCACTACTACTACTGTCACTACTACTACTGTCACTACTACTACTGTCACTACTACTACTGTCACTGTCACTACTACTACTGTCACTACTACTACTGTCACTATCACTACTACTGTCACTATCACTACTACTGTCACTACTACTACTGTCACTACTACTACTGTCACTACTGTCACTACTACTACTGTCACTACTACTACTGTCACTACTACTACTGTCACTACTACTACTGTCACTACTACTACTACTACTGTCACTACCACTACTACTGTCACTACCACTACTGTCACTACTACTACTGTCACTACTACTACTGTCACTATCACTACTACTGTCACTATCACTACTACTGTCACTACCACTACTACTGTCACTACTACTACTGTCACTACTACTACTGTCACTGTCACTACTACTGTCACTACTACTACTGTCACTAATACTACTGTCACTACTACTACTGTCACTATCACTACTACTGTCACTATCACTACTACTGTCACTATCACTACTACTGTCACTATCACTACTACTGTCACTACTACTACTGTCACTACTACTACTGTCACTATCACTACTACTGTCACTACCACTACTACTGTCATTACTACTGTCACTATCACTACTACTGTCACTACCACTACTGTCACTACTACTGTCACTATCACTACTACTGTCACTACCACTACTGTCACTATCACTACTACTGTCACTATCACTACTACTGTCACTACCACTACTACTGTCACTAACTACTATCACTACTACTATCACTACTACTGTCACCACTACTACTGTCACTATCACTACTACTGTCACCACTACTACTGTCACTATCACTACTACTGTCACTACTACTACTGTCACTAGCACTACTGTCACTACTACTACTGTCACTACTACTACTGTCACTATCACTACTACTGTCACTACCACTACTACTGTCACTACTACTGTCACTATCACTACTACTGTCACTACTACTGTCACTATCACTACTACTGTCACTACCACTACTGTCACTACCACTACTGTCACTACTACTACTGTCACTATCACTACTACTGTCACTATCACTACTACTGTCACTATCACTACTACTGTCACTATCACTTCTACTGTCACTATCACTTCTACTGTCACTACTACTGTCACTATCACTACTACTGTCACTATCACTTCTACTGTCACTACTACTGTCACTATCACTACTACTGTCACTACCACTACTGTCACTACTACTGTCACTATCACTACTACTGTCACTACCACTACTGTCACTATCACTACTACTGTCACTACCACTACTGTCACTACTACTGTCACTATCACTACTACTGTCACTATCACTACTACTGTCACTACCACTACTACTGTCACTACTACTGTCACTATCACTACTACTATCACTATCACTACTGCTGTCACTATCACTACTACTGTCACTACTACTACTGTCACTGTCACTACTACTGTCATTACCACTACTGTCACTACTACTACTGTCACTGTCACTACTACTGTCATTACCACTACTGTCACTATCACTACTACTGTCACTACTACTACTGTCACTACTACTGTCATTACCACTACTGTCACTACTACTGTCACTACTACTGTCACTACCACTACTGTCACTATCACTACTACTGTCACTACTACTACTGTTACTACTACTGCTATCACTATCACTACTACTGTCACTACCACTACTGTCACTATCACTACGACTGTCACTACTACTACTGTCACTACTACTACTGTCACTATCACTACTGTCACTATCACTACTGTCACTATCACTACTACTGTCACTACTACTGCTATCACTATCACTACTACTGTCACTACTACTACTGTCACTACTACTACTGTCACTACTACTGCTATCACTATCACTACTACTGTCACTACTACTACTGTCACTATCACTACTGTCACTATCACTACTACTGTCACTATCACTACTACTGTCACTACCACTACTACTGTCACTACTACTGTCACTATCACTACTACTATCACTATCACTACTGCTGTCACTATCACTACTACTGTCACTACTACTACTGTCACTGTCACTACTACTGTCATTACCACTACTGTCACTACTACTACTGTCACTGTCACTACTACTGTCATTACCACTACTGTCACTATCACTACTACTGTCACTACTACTACTGTCACTACTACTGTCATTACCACTACTGTCACTACTACTGTCACTACTACTGTCACTACCACTACTGTCACTATCACTACTACTGTCACTACTACTACTGTTACTACTACTGCTATCACTATCACTACTACTGTCACTACCACTACTGTCACTATCACTACGACTGTCACTACTACTACTGTCACTACTACTACTGTCACTATCACTACTGTCACTATCACTACTGTCACTATCACTACTACTGTCACTACTACTGCTATCACTATCACTACTACTGTCACTACTACTACTGTCACTACTACTACTGTCACTACTACTGCTATCACTATCACTACTACTGTCACTACTACTACTGTCACTATCACTACTGTCACTATCACTACTACTGTCACTACTACTGCTATCACTATCACTACTACTACTGTCACTGCTACTGCTGTCACTGCCACTGACTCGCTCCGCTGGCCTCGTCCACAGCTGTCGCTGCTGCTAAGCCCTCGCCTTGCCGTGACCTCGCGGGCCAACACAGACAGTGGCTGAGCCTCTTTGCAGACTCGCCCCTCGCTCCGTTATTAATCCACGGGCGGGTGAGCGTGCGGGTGAGCGGGCGGGTGAGCGGGAGGGTGAGTGGGTGGGTGAGCGTGCGGGTGAGCGGGTGGGCGGTTGAGCGGGCGGGTGAGCAGGTGGGCGGTTGAGCGTGCGGGTGAGCGGGAGGGTGAGCGGGTGGGTGGGTGAGCGGGCGGGTGAGCGGGCGGGTGGTTGAGTGGGAGGGTGAGCGGGCGGGCGGTTGAGCGGGAGGGTGAGCGGGCGGGCGGTTGAGCAGGAGGGTGAGCGGGCGGATGAGCGGGAGGGTGAGCGGTTGAGCGGGCGGTTGAGCGGGAGGGTGAGCAGACGGGTGAGCGGGAGGGTGAGCGGGAGGGTGAGCGGGAGGGTGAGCAGACGGGTGAGCGGGAGGGTGAGCGGGAGGGTGAGCAGACGGGTGAGCGGGAGGGCGAGCGGGCGGTTGAGCGGGAGGGTGAGCGGGCAAGCGGGCGGGCGAGGGGGAGAGTGAGAGGGTGAATGAGTTTGTGAATTAGAAGGTGAGAGGGTGAATGAGTTGGTGAGAGTGGGAGAGTGGGATAAATGGCGAGGGAGAGAGTGCGAGTGAGTGAGCCGATAGATGTTGGTAGCCTTTGCGTAACGTTGACACAAGCCGCCGTGGGGAGAGAGCGAGAGGGACAGTGAGAGAGAGAACGAGAGAGACAGGGTGAGAGAGAGAGCGAGACAGAGAGAGAGAGGGTGAGACAGAGGGTGAGTGAGAGACAGAGAGAGAGACTTTTGACTTTTAAACAACTTTTATTGCCGCCAGCAGCAAAAGCACTGGACGCGGTTTCGATACGAAACGCACAAAGTCACCAGCAACACAAATGACAGTAAACGTTACAAATCCACGCGCTGTGGCGCTAAAAAGCACCGCGCACAACACGAAAGAAAAGTCACGTGGTGGTGGTGTTTGTGGTGTTGGTGGCTGTGGTGGTGGTGGTGTTGGTGGTTGTGGTGGTCATTCGCGCATGCCACGTTGACGAGCAAGCGCTTCAGAAGGTGAACACGTGGGGTGCCGTCCACGCTGGTACAGAGAGGGGCTTTTTTTCCGACTCCCCAGCGTTCGAAGAAGACGTGCACATCACCGACACGTGTGTGTGTGTGGTATGCGTGCTCCAGCCGGAGCCGCGCCTTAAGCAGGCCCCTGAACGCTGGAAGCAGCACAGAGCAGAACGTCAGTGTCACCTTCCAGCATCTTTTTTTCTCGTTCTGTACACCGTCATCTTCGCCTGAGTGAGTGAGAGAGGGTGATACAGAGAGACACAGAGAGGGGGGGGGGGGGGGTGAGACAGAGATGGACACAGAGAGAGAGGGTGATACAGAGAGACACAGAGAGGGACACAGAGAGAGACACACAGAGAGAGAGGGGGTGAGACAGAGAGGGACACAGAGAGAGAGAGGGTGATACAGAGAGACACAGAGAGAGGGGGTGAGACAGAGAGAGAGAGGGTGATACAGAGAGACACAGAGAGGGACACACAGAGAGAGGGTGAGAGAGAGAGAGGGTGAGAGAGAGAGGGTGATACAGAGAGACAGAGAGACAAGAGAGAGAGAGAGGGTGATACAGAGAGACACAGAGAGAGAGGGGGTGAGACAGAGAGAGGGTGAGAGAGAGAGGGTGATACAGAGAGACACAGAGAGAGAGAGGGGGTGAGACAGAGAGAGGGTGAGAGAGAGAGGGTGATACAGAGAGACACAGAGAGGGACACAGAGAGAGAGAGGGGGTGAGACAGAGAGGGACACAGAGAGAGAGAGGGTGATACAGAGAGATACAGAGAGAGGGGGTGAGACAGAGTGAGGGTGAGAGAGAGAGGGTGATACAGAGAGACACAGAGAGTGGGGGTGAGACAGAGAGAGGGTGAGAGAGAGAGAGAGGGGGGGCGCACGGATCGCTGTGACCCAGTGGCACCCTGCCCTGGTGGGAACAGGACTCCGTGTCCTCGCTATTTTCTACTGACTGGAGTGGGGGGGGGGAGTGAGGGGGGGGGGGATCACGTGATGACCGGGATCAACCGCGGCCACAGCCAGAGGTGCTGCACTGGACGTGCACAGAGACCCACAGACTCATTACGCAGAGACCCACAGACTCATCACACAGAGACCCACATACTCATCACACAGAGACCCACATACTCATCACACAGAGACCCACAGGCTCACCACACAGAGACCCACAGGCTCATCACACAGAGACCCACATACTCATCACACAGAGACCCACAGACTCACCACACAGAGACCCACAGGCTCACCACACAGAGACCCACAGGCTCATCACACAGAGACCCACAGGCTCATCACACAGAGACCCACAGGCTCATCACACAGAGACCCACAGACTCATCACACAGAGACCCACAGACTCATCACACAGAGACCCACAGACTCATCACACAGAGACCCACAGACTCACCACACAGAGACCCACAGACTGTGTGTCTGTGTCGACTCAACCTCAAATGAGTACCTGCTGCTGTGGCGTGTAGTAAACATCGCTACCACTGGGGGAGACAAAGGCGGCCGGGCGTGGTTGCTGGCCACCCACCCCCCCGTGTGCCACAGCGCCGGTTACTTTCATAGGCGCTGCTCGCTAACGGCACTTGCCCCAACAGTCTGTTGAGGCTACACGGGGGATCTTTGTCTGTGTGTGTGTGTGTGCTGTGTTTGTGTGTGTGTGTCACCGCAGTCCGCTGTTTGTCACGTGGAAGATCGGCAGGGACAAACGATTGCGAGGTTGCATCGGCACCTTCTCGGCAATGAACCTGCACTCAGGACTCAGGGAATACACACTCACCAGGTGAGCACGCCCTCACTCACCAGGTGAGCACGCCCTCACTCACCAGGTGAGCACGCCCTCACTCACCAGGTGAGCACGCCCTCACTCACCAGGTGAGCACGCCCTCACTCACCAGGTGAGCACGCCCTCCCTCACCAGGTGAGCACGTAGCCCTCACCAGGTGAGCACGTAGCCCTCACCAGGTGAGCACGCCCTCACTCACTAGGTGAGCACGCCCTCACTCACCAGGTGAGCACGTCCTCACTCACCAGGTGAGCACGCCCTCACTCACCAGGTGAGCACGCCCTCACTCACCAGGTGAGCACGTCCTCACTCACCAGGTGAGCACGCCCTCACTCACCAGGTGAGCACGCCCTCACTCACCAGGTGAGCACGCCCTCACTCACCAGGTGAGCACGCCCTCACTCACCAGGTGAGCACGCCCTCACCAGGTGAGCACGTCCTCACCAGGTGAGCACGCCCTCACTCACCAGGTGAGCACGTGCTCACCAGGTGAGCACGTGCTCACCAGGTGAGCACGCCCTCCCTCACCAGGTGAGCACGCCCTCCCTCACCAGGTGAGCACGCCCTCCCTCACCAGGTGAGCACGTCCTCACCAGGTGAGCACACCCTCACTCACCAGGTGAGCACGCCCTCACTCACCAGGTGAGCACGTCCTCACCAGGTGAGCACGTCCTCACCAGGTGAGCACGTCCTCACCAGGTGAGCACGCCCTCCCTCACCAGGTGAGCACGCCCTCACCAGGTGAGCACACCCTCACTCACCAGGTGAGCACGTCCTCACTCACCAGGTGAGCACGTCCTCACCAGGTGAGCACACCCTCACTCACCAGGTGAGCACGCCCTCCCTCACCAGGTGAGCACGCCCTCCCTCACCAGGTGAGCACACCCGTCCTCACCAGGTGAGCACGCCCTCACTCACCAGGTGAGCACGCCCTCCCTCACCAGGTGAGCACGCCCTCCCTCACCAGGTGAGCACGCCCTCCCTCACCAGGTGAGCACACCCTCCCTCACCAGGTGAGCACACCCTCACCAGGTGAGCCCTGGTCACCAGGTGAGCCCTGGTCACCAGGTGAGCCCTGGTCACCAGGTGAGCCCTGGTCACCAGGTGAGCCCTGGTCACCTGGTGAGGGCCACGTCCTCACCAGGTGAGCACGTCCTCACCAGGTGAGCACACGGTCGCCCTCGTCAGGCGACGTCTATGAAAAAAGAGCTTCATAGCTCATCGGATTGCCCCTCCTCCAGTCTAAATATATAGTTTAATGAGTGTGTGTGCGTGTGTGCGCGTGTCTGTGTGCGTGTGCCTGTGTGTGCGCGTGTCTGTGTGCATGTCTTGTGTGTGTGCGCGTGTGTCTGTGTGCGTGCGTGTGTCTGTGTGCGTGCGTGTGTCTGTGTGCGTGCGTGTGTGTGCGTGCGTGTGTGTGTGTGCGTGCGTGTGCGTGCGTGTGTGTGCGTGCGTGTGTGTGCGTGCGTCTGTGTGTGTGTGTGTGCGTGTGTGTCTGTGTGTGTGCGTGTCTGTGTGTGTGCGTGCGTGCGTGCGTGTCTGTGTGTGTGCGTGCGTGCGTGTCTGTGTGCGTGCGTGTGTGTGTCTGTGTGCGTGCGTGTGTGTGTGTGTGCGTGCGTGTCTGTGTGTGTGCGTGTGTGTGTGCGTGCGTGTGTGTCTGTGTGCGTGCGTGTGTGTCTGTGTGCGTGCGTGTGTGTCTGTGTGCGTGCGTGTGTGTCTGTGTGCGTGCGTGTGTCTGTGTGCGTGCGTGTGTCTGTGTGCGTGCGTGTGTCTGTGTGCGTGCGTGTGTCTGTGTGCGTGCGTGCGTCTGTGTGCGTGCGTGCGTCTGTGTGCGTGCGTGCGTCTGTGTGTGCGTGCGTGCGTGTGTGTGTGTGCGTGTCTGTGCGTCTGCGTGTGTGTGCGCGTGTGTCTGTGCGTGTGTGTGTGTGTCTGTGCGTGTGTGTGTCTGTGCGTCTGTGTGTGTGTGCGCGTGTGTGTGTGTCCGTGTGTGTGTGTCTGTGCGTGTGTGTGTCTGTGTGTGTGTGTCTGTGCGTGTGTGTGCGTGTGTGAGCAGTGCCCTTAAAGACAGCCGCTTCCCGCCCGTGACGCGGGAGGAGCTGCCGCGCCTCTTCTGTTCGGTGTCGCTGCTCACAAACTTTGAGGACGCCACCGACTTCCTGGACTGGGAGGTACCTCCAGCGCCAGCCGCACCAACGTGGCTCCGCCCCCGGTGCCTACAGCTCCGCCCCCCCAGTGCCTCCGGCTCTGCTCCCAGTGCCTCCGGCTCCGCGCCCTGGTGTCTCTGGCTCCGCCCCCCAGTGCCTCTGGCTCCGCCCCCATTACATCTGGCTCCTCCCCCACCAACTCCGGCGCTGCCCCCACTGCCTCGGCTCCTCCCCCACTGCCTCCAGCTCTGGAGCCGGAAACCCATAGACTCACCACACAGAGACCCATAGACTTATCACACAGAGACCCATAGACTCATCACACAGAGACCCATAGACTCATCACACAGAGACCCATAGACTCATCACACAGAGACCCATAGACTCATCACACAGAGACCCATAGACTTATCACACAGAGACCCATAGACTCATCACACAGAGACCCATAGACTCATCAAACAGAGACCCATTGACTCGCCACACAGACCCATAGACTCGCCATACAGAGACCCATAGACTTATCACACAGAGACCCATAGACTCATCACACAAGAGACCCATAGACTCATCAAACAGAGAACCATTGACTCGCCACACAGACCCATAGACTCGCCATACAGAGACCCATAGACTCGCAATACAGAGACCCATAGACTCGCCACACAGAGACCCATAGACTCGCCACACAGAGACCCATAGACTCACCACACAGAGACCCATAGACTCGCCACACAGAGACCCATAGACTCGCCACACAGAGACCCATAGACTCGTCACACAGAGACCCATAGACTCGCCACACAGAGACCCATAGACTCACCACACAGAGACCCATAGACTCATCACACAGAGACCCATAGACTCGCCACACAGAGACCCACAGACTCGCCACACAGAGACCCATAGACTCGCCACACAAAGACCCATAGACTCGCCACACAGACCCATAGACTCACCACACAGAGACCCACAGACTCATCACAGAGACCCATAGACTCACCAAACAGAGACCCATAGACTCGCCACACAGAGACCCACAGACTCGCCAAACAGAGACCCATAGACTCGCCACACAGACCCATAGACTCGCCACACCGAGACCCACAGACTCACCACACAGAGACCCATAGACTCGCCACACAGAGACCCATAGACTCACCACACAGAGACCCATAGACTCGCCACACAGAGACCCATAGACTCGTCACACAGAGACCCATAGACTCGCCACACAGAGACCCATAGACTCGCCACACAGAGACCCATAGACTCGCCACACAGAGACCCACAGACTCGCCACACAGAGACCCATAGACTCGCCACACAGACCCATAGACTCACCACACAGAGACCCACAGACTCATCACAGAGACCCGTAGACTCGCCACACAGAGACCCATAGACTCGCCAAACAGAGACCCATAGACTCACCAAACAGAGACCCATAGACTCACCAAACAGAGACCCATAGACTCGCCAAACAGAGACCCATAGACTCGCCAAACAGAGACCCACAGACTCGCCAAACAGAGACCCACAGACTCGCCAAACAGAGACCCATAGACTCGCCACACAGACCCATAGACTCGCCACACAGAGACCCACAGACTCGCCAAACAGAGACCCATAGACTCGCCAAACAGAGACCCACGGACATGCGCACAATGCATCGCGCGGCACTTGCCGTGTCTCTTGTGCGCGCGTACCTTTAGCAGACGCCATCCCTCATCATGCGGTCTCTGCTCCCACCCCCCTCCCACCCCCCCACCCCAGGTGGGAGTGCACGGCATCCGAATAGAGTTTGTGAATGAGAAGGGCTCTAAGCGCACCGCCACGTACCTGCCGGAGGTGGCGGAGGAGCAAGGTTTGAGACGGCAACTCCACCACCACCACCGCCACCACCACCGCCGCCACCACCACCGCTCCCTCGCCCCCCCCCCGCCGGCTCATGCCTCTCCTGCGCTGTCCCGCAGCACTCCACAAGTGTGTTGTTGCTGTTGCCGCTGTTGGTGCAGCAGCAGATGCTGCTGCTGTTGTTGCTGTTGCCGCTGTTGCTGTTGCCGCTGTTGGTGCAGCAGCAGATGCTGCTGCTGTTGTTGCTGTTGCCGCTGTTGCTGTTGTTGTTGCAGCAGCAGATGCCGCTGCTGTTGCCGCTGTTGCTGTTGTTGCTGTTGCCGCTGTTGTTGCAGCAGCAGATGCCGTTGCCGCTGTTGCTGTTGCAGCTGTTGTTGCTGTTGCGACTGTTGTTGCTGTTGCCGCTGTGGCTGCTGTTGTTGCTGTTGCCGCCGCTGTTGCTGTTGCCGCTGTTGTTGCTGTTGCCGCTGTTGTTGCTGTTGCCGCTGTTGTTGCTGTTGCCGCTGTTGCTGCTGTTGCCGCTGCTGTTGCCGTGGTGGCCGCTCATTCATCGGTGCCGTTGTTGAGGCAGCTGCGCCAGGATTGGGCAACAACCGAGCCCACGCTCTGTGTATCTCGATGGGTCTCTGTGTATCTCTGAGTTTCTGTGAATCTCTGAGTATCTCTATGAGTATCTCTATGACTCTCTCTCTCTCTTTAAGTCTCTGTGAATCTCTACTAATCGGAGGTGCAGTGTTGAGTCTGGCCAGTGTTGGGCCTATGGACAGTGTTGAGTCTCTACGGTGCAGTGTTGAGTCTATGGTGCAGTGTTGAGTCTATGGTGCAGTGTTGAGTCTATGGTGTAGTGTTGAGTCTATGGGCAGTGTTGAGTCTATGGTGCAATGTTGAGTCTATGGTGCAGTGTTGAGTCTATGGTGCAGTGTTGAGTCTGGGCAGTGCTGAGTCTGTGGGCAGTGCTGAGTCTATGGGCAGTGCTGAGTCTATGGGCAGTGTTGGGTCTATGGGCAGTGTTGAGTCTATGGAGCAGTGTTGAGTGAGTGTTATGATGCCTTGAGCGGTTAAGTGGGGAGCGGTGGGTGTAGCGGTTAGCGCTACGCTGCGCTACGAACCCGGCGACCCGGGTTCGATTCCCGCTCACGGCCAACACCGGTGACGATTTTCTGAACCGGTCCCGGGCTACCCCTAGGTCCTGGAGCGGTGTGTAGTAAACATCGCCACCGGCGGCGGGGGGGGGGGGGCGACCTGAGGTTCGATTCTCCCTGGGTACCGCTCGGGCTCAAATGCCGTGCCCGGCAAAACGTCGAACCCTGGGGGAGACAAAGGCAGGCCCGGGCACGATGCTTACAGCACTTGCCCCCCCCCCCACAACAGTCTGTGAAGGCTCCACGGGACATCTTTGTGTTTGCGGCGGTGCAGGCTGGGACCAGATACAGACGGTCGACTCGCTGCTGAGGAAGGGGGGCTACAAAGCCTCCATATCCAACGACTTCCGCAAGTCAATCAAGCTCACCAGGTGAGGGGCGGGGACAGGCTCGCACACTCGCTCACGCACTCAGTCACTCGCACACTCACGCACGCAACCACACACTCACACACTCCAACAACAACAACAACAACAACCGCCATTCGCCACTAAGTGGCGGTGACGTCACCACTACGCTTGTGCCAGGCCACGTGCACCTTGAGGCCACGTGAAGTGTCGGACGCCCGCGGGCAGGAGGTCACGGGGCAGACCCAGCAGGTGCCACGGGTCGACTGACTGAGATGACTACTGGCTGATGCACCACCTGTGCCCCCTACTGTGCCAACCTGCTGTGCTTTAGCCACCCGGCGCTCCGCTCGTTGTTGTGAGCGTCGCTCCTCCGCCCCCCGTTGTTGTTGGAGGGCGACTGCCTCCAGCTCCCCAGTAGCGTCCTTCACGAGCCTCCTCCACAGAGGCCGATCTTGACACCGCTGGTACCGGTCATCGGCAAGTCCAGTCAGCTCCACGTCCTCCTGTACCACATCACTCCATCTCTTCTCTAGCCCGTGCCTCGCCCGTTTAGCCCCCTCGATCCGGCCGAACAAAAGCTGTTTCGGCATGCAGTGGCTGGGCATGCAGGCTACATGACCCAGCCAACGTAGCCTTGCCTGCCGGAGGAGCTCACCGATGGGACCTTGCCCAGATCTTTCAAGGATTTGTGAGCTCCTCACACAATCCAGCCTGGTTAAACCCAGGATGGATCGTAGGCAGGCTAGCCTAAATGTTTCTAACCGGCGAAGATGTTTCATTAGGGGGGTCCACGTTTCGCAAGCCTAGAGACGGGAGGGAATGACCGTGGCCGAGAAGACCTGAAGCTTAGTGCGGAGCGACAGACCAGGTAGCTTCCACACAGCGTTATGCAACCGATGAAAAGATATTGCCGCTCGACTGATTCGGAATGAGACCTCTGCTGTTAAACTGGAGCCGGTCATAAGCACACTGCACAGGTATAGGAAACTCTCCACTCTCTCCACAACTGCCCCATCACCGATTGGGAGTTGTGGGGGTGGAGTGTCCGATGGTACAAAATACCCAGGCAGGTGCTTAGTTTTGGTGGGGTTGATGGTAAGGCCCCACCTCTTAGTGGCACGCTCCAGTCTCAGCAACAGCGTCTCCAACTCCTCCTCTGAATGAGCAGCTATTACCAAATCATCGGCATACATAACGTGATTGAGCAATAGGGAGCCATCCCTTGACCGCACCCGGGCATTGATCAGCCTCCCATTATATCTGTACCAAATGGAGATTCCCCCGGTACAGCTATTGAAGGCTTCACGAACTACGTAGTCAAAATGCAGGGAATGGCTCTGACTCCCGGCCACGTAGTTTTACCTGGGCCCGCTCACCATCATGAAGGTCCTTAATGATCGTGAGCAGAGGGTCAGGGACTCCAAAGCACGAAGAACAACCCAGAGCTCAGGCCTACTGATGGTATCATAGGCCTTGACCAGGTCAATAAAGCAGAGATGTAGGTCTTGTTGGAATTCCCTACACCTCTGCTGTAGCAGACGGACAGAAAATATGGCGCCACACACACTCGGTCACACACTCACTCACACACTCACTCGCACTCAATCACTCGCACTCACACTCAACAACAACCGCCATTCACCACTACGTGACATCACTACCGCCATTGTGCCAGGCTAAGTGCACTTTAAGGTCAAATGAAGTGTCAAACGCCCGCTGGCACGAGGTCACAAGGCAGACCGAGGTGCCATGGGTTGACTGACTGAGATGACTGGCCGATGCACCACCTGTGCCCCCTACTGTGCCAACTTGCTGTGTTTTAGCCACCCGGCGCTCCGCTCGTTGTTGTGAGCATCGCTCCTCTGCCCTCCGTTGTTGCTGGAGGGCGACTGCCTTCAACTGCCCAGTAGCAGCGTCCTTCACGAGCCTCCTCCATAGAGACTGATCTTGACACCGCTGGTACCAGCCATTGGCAAGTCCACTCAGCTCAACATCCTCTTATGTGTGCTGTATCTGTGTGTGTGTTGTGTCTGTGTGTGTGCATGTGTGTCTGTGTGTGTGTCTGTGTGGTGTGTGTGTTTGTCCGGCAAAAACAACCCCCTACCTCCTCGTGGTACCGGACAGCAACGCTGTGGTGGGCAGTGCCGTGAGGGGAGGGGCCAATTTAAATTGGCCCCTCCCCTCATGGCGTTTGTAGCCACCACAGCGGCCAAATGGGGGCTCTGGACAGGTGCGAGGGGCTGGTAACCCCATCACTTTAAATTTACTACCACTAAACTACGAGGTAAAACATTTATTAAGCTTGTGCCGGAGGCCCCGGGGGGACAGGCGTCTATGACGTCTCCTGGCCAAACCCCATTTGGCAGAGCCAGGAGACTGAATCCTTACCCTCGGGGCTCCAGAAATACCAAAAAGCCGCTTCGGATGGCCACGTGGAATGTCAGAATGCTCACTGCGGAGGAAAGGCTCCCACTCCTCCGTCGGGAGCTGGACCGGTACCACCTGGATCTCTGCGGTATTCAGGAGGTCCGGTGGACCGGCTCTGGCTCCTGCCACCATGAGGGGTGGAAAGTCCTCTACTCGGGGCAGCAGACTGCCAAACAACAGGGAGTGGATCTTCTTCTGAACAAAATAATGCAGGGGGTGTGGGAGCGTGGCGGTGAGGTGTGGGAAGCTGTAAGCCCCAGGCTACTTTGGGCTCGCCTTCCCATCAACCAGAGGTGAGGAGTGGTGGTCGTGGTTACTTATGCTCCCACTGAAGACGAACATCCGTGGAGGGATGCAAGCAAGGCCGATGAGTCAAATGCCTTCCATGACCTCCTGTCACAGGTGCTGGCTAAAGGGGCCCCTCGGGATAGAGTTATCTTGTTGGTTGACTTCAATGCTGAGTTGGTCATGATGCTGGCACCTGGTCTGGAGTCATGGGCCAGATCAGCTCAATAACAATGGTAAGAGGCTGCTAGATTTTTGTACAGCCCATGAGCTTGTAATTACCAAAACACTGTTCCGTCATCGGCGCATCCACACATCATGGATACATGCAGGGTCCAAGCAAGAACATCTGCTGAACGACATAGTGCCAGAACAGCGGATGCAGGCCCATGTCCTTGACACCAAGACCTACCGTGGAGCTGTTCTGCCCACTGACCATCGACTTGTCATCTGTAAGATGCGCCTGTCATTCTTCCGCTCCGGTGGTGGGTGTACACCCAGGACCCCATTCAAACGCATAGTGCATGGTCTTAGCTGATGAAAGTTGCAAGCGAGAATTTCGTCATCACTTTCAGCTCGGGTTGGCATCGTCCCCCCACTCCTGATGTCGAGGGGAAATGGGCGAGGTTTAGGACTGTGACTCATGCAACTACAATGGCTGCTTTGGGTACACGGTCCAAACCTCCGCAGAGACCCTGGCTGACAAAGGTGTTCAAGCTGGCTGAGAAAAGGCGACAGGCCTACTCTCATCGGCTACAGCATCCAACATCAGAGAATGAGGAGGCTTCGCTCAGAGGTTCGGAGAGCCGTGAGGCGATTCAAGGATGGTTGGTGGTCATGGGTTGCTGAGGAGATGGAGTCTGCCTCAATGGCTCATGATTACAAATCACTCTTTAATTCCATAAATAAGTAACCTGCAGCACCACACCTATTGCCATCATTAGGGGAAAGAACGGTGATCCAATCTCCGACCCCCAGGAACAGGTTTGCAGATTTCCTGAGCATTTCTGTGGGGTCCTGGGGGAGGGGAAATCCCTCGACATGGAAAACATCGTGGGACAAAGTGGGGGTGACCCTGCTGAGGCTGCGGTACCTCGAATATAGGAAGAAGTAGTCACCCCTTGTGAGTGGCTGGATGAGGTGCCATCTGTTGAGGAAGTACTGAAGGCGATCCGGAGCCTGAGACCAGGAAAGGCACCGGGCAGAGATGATCTCCCAAGCGAAATGCTGAGGGAGTTGTGGCGTTTGTGCACCAACTGCCCTACATGACATCATGACAACAGTCTGGACCACTAGACGGGTTCCGCAGGATTGGAAGGATACCCTGGTGGTCCCCCTCTTTAAGAAGGAGGACCGCACAGACTGTAACAACTACAGGGGCATCTCACTTCTCAGTGTGCCGAGAAAGGTCCTGGCAAGGATTATTCAA